AGCTGACAGCAACCTCAAATTCTTGGGATTAAGCAATCCCCTTGCCTCAGCCTCCCAAGTAGTTGGGACTACAGGTGGTTACCACAACAGTCAGCTATTTTGAGAGATGGAGTCCCACTCTTGGTTAGGCTGGTCTCAAAGTGGTAAACTCAGGCAATCCGCCTGCCTTGGCTTCCCAGAGTGCTAGGATTACAGGACATGACCCACTATTCCTGGCCTTTGTATATAAAATTTTTTAATTAGTTGGTGGGAAACACCCAAACTTAATCCTAAGAGTACAGCCTGTAAGACATGTAACAGTGTGATCAGTTCTGATAGTGTCACATTAATTATAATTTTAAAATATCGTTAACATGGTAGACATAAAAGTGATTCTGACCTTGATTTCCTAATAGTAACAGGTCACAAACATAGATAAAACCATGTTTGTTGTTCTTCTAGGAAGAGGCTAAAAAGAAAAGGAGGAGGAAAGGAAATAAAGAGGAACAAAAGAAGCAAGCAAGCCTGCTAGGCATTATGAAGGTTCAAAGGTAAATCGCCACACAACCCTGAAACAACACCTCTAGGGTCATTGCTCCGTATGTCTAGTCACCTACTGCCATGCATGAAAGGAAGGACTAGCATTGCCATAGCCTTTCATTCAAGGGAAGTTGGGGATCAAGACTTTCATCACAATCTACCAGAATGGTCAAATTCTGGCAATAATTTTAAATTAAAAATAGTAACACCAGGCTCAGCACCCGTAGCACAGTGCTTACGGCGCCAGCCACATACACCTAAGGTGATGAGTTCAAACACGCCCCAGGGCAGCTAAACAATGATGACAACAGCAACAAAAAATAGCTGGCATTGTGGTGGACACCTATAGTCCCAGCTACTTTGGAGGCTGAGGCAAGAGAATCACTTAAGCCCAAGAGTTGGAGATTGCTGTAAGATGTAACGCTATGGCATTCTACCAAGGATGACATAGTGAGACTCTGTCTCAAACAAAAACAAAAATAAAAACAAACAAACAAAAAAAAATCAGGTCTTCATTTATTGTCAGTCACATCATAAATAACTGCAAGTATAAAACGAAGTGTAATATATACAACCAACAGAATTTTTTTTTTT